AAAAAAAAAAAAAGAAAGAAATCAAACCTGTTTTCTCCAAAATCAAAGAAGATTGCTGCTTTGGGCAATGGCAAACCAGCTTATTTAGACCAATTTTAAAGCCATGAGATAAACCTAAGCAAAATGTCTTTTGCACCCATTTGAAGACACTAGAGAATTAGAAAGGCAGTAAGAACCTGAAGGGCCAAGAACTCAGAGGAAAGGGAAGCCCAGAGAGGGGACCTAGACATCTGGCATAGCTTTTCTCCTTTAGGATTTTCCTCTACAGGCAGTGTTTCAAAAATGGTAGTTGACTGTGAGGGGTGAAAAGCATAACTATTGCATTGTTTTGTACACCTGAAACTAAGAATAATTTTGTTAAAAAAATGTTAGTTGAGAGGCTAAGAAGTTGAACAGAGCTTTCAGCAATATCACAGGAATCATATAACTAGAGTTCCAGACCACCAAGGAGGAGGGATCCTATTTAATTCTCCAGGCTTTCAATTAACCCTTATGATTCCCAAAATGCTACACCATAGGAATCAGGGTAAACAAAAACAGACCAGCCCCCAAAAACTAAAGCCTAGTTTCTAAACAGTTCAGTCCTTGACTGAGTTAAGATGTTCAACTCCTAGGCCTATGTAGGAGCAAAAGTATATATTCTCTGAAGAAAGAGAACATAATTTAGAGTCCCAAAATATTTCCACAACTTTTCATACCTAATGCCTAATAATCAGAAATACCTAGGTATGAAAAAACAAACCAAAAAAAACCCTACATTGACTAAAAATCAAAAGGACATGAAAAGAAAAACTGAAAAAGATCCAGAGAACATTCACGTATTAGAATTATCTGACAGAGGCTTTAAAATAACTGGGATCAATAAATTCAAAAACCTAAATGACAAGATGAAGAGTTCCAACAAAGAACTGAAAACAATTTTAAAACTCAAATGGAAATTCCAGAAGTGAAAGTAAAATAACTGAAATTAAGTACTCAGTGGATGAATTTAACAGCAGCTTAGACAAAGCTAAAGAAGGAATTAATAAACTAGAAGATCGGTTAGAAGAAAACATCCAGACTGAAAAAGGTAACAAAAGAACAAAAGGATGGAAATACAGAAAAGAACATAAAAGACCTTAAAAAAAAAAAAAAAGGAGCCTATTGGGTAAAGCCCAGAAGGAGAAGAGAGAAAGAATAGATCTGAAACAATATTTGAAGATATTAATAGCAAAGAATTATCTAAAACAAATTTTTTTTAA